GGGGGGTGGGGGGGAGGATGATGACGGCAGTGTTACGCAAACACAACCAACAACATCACCACAAGAGCCGTTATACTCGGTATTTACAGTACTTTCTTATATAGTTGCCACCCCTACTTCTGGACTGTGCGTCTTAAACTTTGGTGTCTCGAACGGCTTGCGGCGAAAACTCGAAATTGGGTGGGGGAAGCATTTTTCGCGATGATCACGACACTGTTTCGCACACCCCCCGCCCCCCAGGAAAAAGCAAGTCCAAAATCCGAAGCTNNNNAAACTCGACAAGTCGACTTCGAGGCTTCACAAGATGATCCCACATCACGAAGTGGTTTATGTTACCGAGTACAATGGGTCTTTCCTGAACATGTTTAAGAGCAAGTGTGTTGGAGGAGATTTTTAGGATAATGTTGATGATGATTTTTGGATGGTGTGATCATGATTCTTGGATGATGTCGATGATGTTGATGTTCATGACGATGAGAACGAGGTGTAGTTCGTAGGGGGGGGGGGGCGCCAGTACTACTACTAGTAGTAGTAGTAGTAGTAGTAGTAGTAGTAGTAGCAGCAGCAGCAGCAGCAGCAGCACCAGCAGAGCCAATGATGATGATTATGATGATGGTGGTATTGACGATGATGATGATGGTGGTATTGACGATGATGATGACGTTGATTTTGGCGAGGATGATCATGATGATGGCAGTCAAAACAGCGGCAACGCCGGCGGTTACATGCTCGTGGTTTGCCGTTGCTGCTACGGCTCGCACTAAGTTGTGTTTAAACGACGTCTGTGCAACATGTCAGCCTTTACCGGCCGCCCTGCCATCCAGTGTCAAAAAAGAGGATACCAGGTTGAGGGCTCACTGTGCTGGACAATTGGCGTGGTCCGGCTGCTTTGTTCCGGCGCTTGTGCTAGCTCTGCGAGGCATGCTACATGTCCGACTTCACAGTCTTCCAAATCGAGATTACGAAAGGCTACGACATGAATGCCTTCCGTGAAGCCGGGGTCTCGGCCAGGGGCAGTTTAGCTTTGGCCCCTCCCCTGAATGTCGGCATGCTGTCTTCCCGGAGATACATCTCAGGATATGAAGAAGATGCTGACCAAAGCTGGGGGTAGCGAAGAGCACACGGTTTTCCTCTTCAGCGACACACAGATCAAGGTGGCCAGAGGGTTGTCTGCGGCAGATTGCGGCAGGTGTACATTGACTTGCCTCAGACAGCGTCCAAGTGCTCCAGTAGTCTTGAGCATGCTCCTGCACTGTGCAGCTTATGCTTCTTGCTGTGTGCATTTTACAAACTCTTAGTTCGTGGTTACACGGAAAGGGTCAAGCTTGCTTCTGCAGTAACTATTTTCATTGATGTTAGACGTCTCATGGAGTGGCTGCAGCTTGTAGTTTCAGCAAGCGACCTGCATGTATCTGCAAGTCTCCTTGCAGGACGAAGGCTTCGTTGAGGACGTAAACAACCTGCTCAACACCGGGGAGATTCCGAATCTTTTCCCTGCGGAGGACCTGAGTCAGCCAGACCTCCGGTAGCGGGCATGGGGCATCATGATTTCTCGCAGTCCTCTTCCTTGTCATTCTCCGAGAAATGAACGGAAGGATCCAGGAAGATCAGGAGTCTGTCGCATCGACAGTGAATCGAGAGCTGCGTAAACAGGTCATGCTGTCGTGACAAGGTTTGGCAAAGCCCAGGTCGTTGAACGAAATCGCTACCAACCGCCACCAGCATGTCATTCAGGCAATTTGTAGTCATCACAGTTTGGGAGCTCGCTGACCGTTCACGCCAGGAACGTGTGGCCATCTGCTTCTCGGCTGCTTTTGGATGCGTCCGGCGCATGACAGGTCCATGGAGTCTGCCGAAGCCTTCTGCACGTCTTGACTGCAACATTTTCTCGGATCATCTCGGCCTTGTAGAGTCGAGGCGAGATGGTCCGCAAAGCCGCTGCAGACGAAGGAAAGGCTCCGGCCGGGTTCCCGGGCTGCGGTGCTTGGATGTCATGGCTATGCCACGAGCGGTCACGGGCCTTTAGGGTGCACCTTTGGCCTTTAAGATTCAAAAGTTGAGGTCTTGGCTTTGGGTGCATAGTTTTTAGGTTTGGGCTGTTGGTTGTAAGGGTGCAGGTTTTGGCTTTCAGGACCAAGTGTAGTATCGGGGGTGTAAGTTGACTCAAGCAGCCTGAACCCTTATTAGCTCGAAAATCAAACTAAGCAGGAGTCTGGCGGGTTTCGGAGCCTACACCCGAAACCTTTTCCTTCTCTCTGGAACTTCCACAACATCATAGGTCCGAGTCCTCAATCCTGAAGCCCTCAAACTCTGCAGCCCGAAGCCCAACACAGGATATTAGCTGCGGATAGTGGGATTTCTGCAAGAGTTTCTGAGGTTTAGGGTGTAGGGTTTTGTGGACGTTTCTTGTGGTTTGTTATTTTCGGACTGAGTGCTTGCACCAGGCCTCTGAACCTTTTTTTTGGTGGGGCCCATGGGGAAGGGTGTGGGGTTCGGGGTTAGGGGATTCAGGGATACCCAATGATTCTCCGACATGGTTTGGCACCGGCGCTGGCGGACGGTGCCCAAAATCCCACTCGATCTGACCTTCCAACCACAAGAAGGCGCCACTAGACTAGGCGCAATCGGGGACCAACATGGCTGGAAGCACAGTGTGTCCAGGGGGCCGCATTTGCTGCGAAGCACTTGGACCTCCCAGAGGAAGAAGTTGTTGGCAATTTTCCTGATGCAGGTCCACTGCTGTATCCTCGTTTTTGAGGTGTCCTTACAAGAAATAATCTTGACTTCTAGTTTACTTCCTCTCTGTGATCCCCTACTCGTAGCTCCGTAGTTGAACTGCCATGGCGGTCCTCGGCAATCTGCTGCACTGTCTGTCTACGGATGCACAGGCTCCTGCACGTAATGATTCGGAGACTTGCCTTCTTTCAGTCGAGTTGTTTTGGGTTGGGATGTTGATGATGTTGATGTGCTGTGGGCTTGCAAGGAGCTCAAATAAGCACAGCCGGACAGGACACTCTTGGGCTTGTTCTAGGATTCTAGGAAAGGTTCTTCGGCCATGCTGACCATGATAGGCTCGTGAAGCCGCGGAGCAGCAGCTCCTGGAGCACCAGCAGCGGGATCCTGCGGCTTTCCAGCGTTTATCCGCATCTCCGAGCCTCCTCGCAACCTGCTGCACACCTGTGAAGCCTCTCATACGCGCGAAGCTGGGATTCCAAACCGGTCGAGTTTTGCAGTAACTGGGAAGATGGCAGTTCAGGCAGGCTTTGCTGCTTCCTGCGCCGCCACCATGTGCGACGGGAGCCAACCGCCGCAGGCACGTAACCGGCTTAAGTACAAACAGCTGTGCGAGCTAGGCAGTAAGGAGCAGTTCAGCCACTGGTTGTTTGGAGATTATATCTGTCAGGCCCGGCAGCTGGCCGCACTTCTCCTGAAGAACACGTAGCTTGGCCTGTGACGACACGGTATCTGATTGCCAGCCACATGGTGGAAAGCACTGAACAGCATGTTGGCGGTCAGGCTTTGCAGTCATCTGCCATAATCTGATGCAGCTTTTCGATGCATCATGGTGCCGCGCACGGACCAGCGCCAGCTGCGCCTACTTACCACACAGCAGTCTAGGAAAAAAGAGGCAGGATAGCGATGGCGACGACTGCTGTCACATCTTCCGCCAGCAGGCTACCAGTTCCCGGCGTGGAGGGCTCCCTGCAGGGCCCGGTGCTGCAGGCTTGCGGAGTCCCACACCCTTGAAATGTATAGGCTTTTAAAGAGTCGTCGAGATGCATCACCCGGGAACAAGCTAGAGAGCGTGTGCTCAGTAATATGGATGGGCCTTCTACGTGTACAGGTGTCGTGGTGTCATAGTCTGTGACGAACGCTGTTCTTCCTCAGTGCTCCTTGGCTTCTTGGCCTGCTGGCTTCCTCGGGTGTTTAGCCCAGGCCACGTCAGAAAGAAGCTTTGTGCAATGGAATGGGCCGCAAAGGAAATGCCACAGATCCGGGCATCGCAGGACATGTCACAGCCAGATCGCGATGCTCATGCAACTATACGGGATAAAGCCAGGTGACCACAGACAACCAGAATCCCTCAGTCGCAAAGCCCTAGGCACCTTCGGAACACCATTCCTCAGATTTCCTCAGTCTTTTTTTTGCTTTCTTTGCACGCAGAGCTTGGGCCAGGCTCTGGCTGATTCAAGCGATGCGGCACTGCGTCGGGGTGCTGCGTGCCCAGTCCTGCAAAGATGAAAAACACGCTGTTTGCTGTTTGTCAGACTCGCAAAAGAATGCGGGTGGGCAAATTGCCCGGGGTACCTGACCCGCCCCCAATGCCTGGGACAAGAAGAAGAAGAAGACAGAGAGAGAGAGAGAGAGCACCGTGCAAAGAAAGGGGCACCCGACCCTGCGAACAACAGTACACCAAGCCCCTCTGTCAAAATGATGG